TATCATTTGTGAGTTCTGCAATAATTTCAGTCAAAGCCAGTGCAAGATATTGGAGGTGTGAGACTTGCATGATATATATGCCAGTTTACACCTAGATTATGAAGGGATTTTTAATTATCAATATTATTTTTAATTGCTTACAAAACAGCCGCAATTGTAATTTTTTCTCTGGAATCTTAAACATTCTCAAATAGTGTAACTTTAAAACCCAGAAGAAAATGCCTAGCCACTTCCTTTCAACAGCCGTTTTAGAATTGCAAGACCCCAACCCTTCTCTTGCCCTTCCACTCTCGTTGTTAAAAAAGCATCAAAACTATAGATAGTTAAAATTTTTGAAATGTGCCTTTCATATTGTTTGGAGCAACAGAGATCCTTGTAATCATAATTAGTGATCAATATATCCTATTACTAAAAAAAAAACAGAAATTCAAAATCAAGATATTTTGAGATCTCAAAACACATCTTACTTCCTTTATGAGAACATGGAGAGATGACAATAGTTTAAGTGATTAATACTCTTATTCCGCTTTGGATTTAGTTCAAAATGCTTCATTGGAAGCTCAAAAGAGGTAAGCATCAAAAGCATACTATACAAATTATACTTTCAATGTATGAGAATTTGGTGATACTGTACCTACTTGATAGATTTAATTGCTATGCACAGAATCCCCCAAAAGACACTATATCACAATTACACAATCTTCTTGTTCAAGACCTAAATAAGGGAAATTCAAAAAAGGAAAAATTCAAAACAAATAGTAGAGCCAGAAGATTTGGATAATCTGTTCCCTTTCTTTTCCCTGCTCCAAACAAACAAAAAAATCTTTTTCTATTATTTTACCGTGTATTTGAGCTTTTTATTATAAATATGAAATATGAAATACAGTATTTCAACAAGATCTGAATAAAGTATCTTACTCTCAGATAACCTAGGACCTTGATAGAGAAGGGCCTTTGTGAGGAGTAAATGCTTCAGTTCAATCCTTCTTCATTTATTTAAGAGCAAATATCCCACATGCATGTTAATGTTTATTATTCTAAATGGGGAATTCCCTCTTTCTAAACCAAAGAATTTTCAGTTTTCTCTCCCTCTCTTAAGCAGGTGTCTTTCCATATCTCACAAATCAAAAGGGAAGGTGGGAAGACAGGCTTTCAGTGGTGCCCTGATGTGTATTTTAATAACTTTACTAATCAGAGCACATATAAATTAGAATGAATCATATTCGTATCTTTAATAGCAAGGAAAACTCAATTTAACTCATGTCCAGCTTTCTTTCATGTTCATTTTATTCAAGGGCATGCCTTCTTTTTTTTTTTTTTTTTTTGCTTTTTTTTTTTGCTTTCTTTCTTGGACACCTCCAACCCCCACTGACAACCGAAATGCAGGGCTATAAATGTAAGGGTGCAATACATCATGAGATAAGTCTAGAGAACATGTCCTCTACCAAAATGCACATGAATCTCTGGTACGGTGAAAATTCCGGAATCATTTGGGGGTTCATTTTGCATGCTAAGCAGGGTCAAAAATGTGAGCTGTAGGTGGTCATCCTTATATATCAGATAAGGTCCAAAGTTTAAAGGTTACATTTGTGAAACTGCAGCTGGGTTTCCTAGCACTTGATTCTAGCTCCTGCAAATCAAAGACTCTTAATTGAAAGACAAATCTGACAATATGATAATCTTTCAATTAAAAAAAATCTTACTTCTGAACCCTTATCTGTTGAAGAGCTGACACAGAAGTTCAGAGATGTTTGTTTAACCAGACAAAATGATAGAGAAAAATATGTTTTCCAACAAGATCATAAAGCTTGAATAGTGCAGGGAAACAAATGTAAAGCGAAGAGCTGTCCTCTATTCCGTCTACCAGCTCTAATTCCCCCACCCCCAGTTTGTACACTCTAGCCACTCACCTTTTAGGCAAGGGCTAGTGTCTTCCAAATTAGACTCAACCCCCAAATACCAAGACACTAGAAAGTGGCATCTTAGCATACTTTGAGATCAGACGTTTTCTGAATTTCATGGGGGCGGGGGGCTGGAGAACAGCATACCAATGTAGTGAAATCTGGAAACAACAGCATATATACAGACACAAAAAAAAGTTTGCATATTGCACAGAGCGCTTGAAGATCATAAATCTATGCATGAGAAAGATGTAGTGGAAATTTTGGGGGGGATTAGAGTTTATTTTTGTCATCTCTGTGAGACAGCTACTCATTCATCCAGATCACAGCTAAGAAAAAAGCTGGTCACAGAAATTAGCAGTTTCAGCTCAGCAGCGAAGTCGCCAGCCTGTGAAGGCAGAGAGAAATTGACTAATTAGCAATGCGCACTAAAACTTGACGGTTCTTTATAGAGAGAGAGAAGAGAGAGGGAGAGAGAGGGAGAGGGAGGGAGGGGGGGGCTCGCTTTTTCCCCTTCTTTCTTCCAAAGATGTTTGAAATCGCAGTCATTTACGCTCGACAATTTTTACAATAGCCTTGAGCCATAATTTTGCGAGTCTCTCCAGCATCCATCCCCCTGTATGGTCTCTCTCTACTGGCCAAGCACGACCGTTTCTCTCCCCAACCGTGGATTTCCTATTACTCTCGTTACGACTCACTGAGCCCCAGGCCCAAGGATAATGATGTGTTGTTTCTTGGTAGCATAATTTGTCACACGTACATTTTTTCTTCTTCTTCTCTTGCAGAAAGCTCTGCTCCCTCTCTCTCTCTCCCTCTCTCTCCCTCTCTCTCCCTCTCTCTTTCTCTCTTTTCTCCCTCTCCTACATTTTCTTGCTGTTGCTAATTCATGGTGATCAAATGATGTACGACAAAATAAATTGTAAAGAGTGACTGCCTGGAGTTGGGAACCAGAAGGTGTTTTCCCCCTCCCAAGGAGAGAGCAAACCTTTAAAAAGGAAGGACAATTGATTTTTGGGGGGGAGCTTAAGTGAGCCTTGACTTTGCAGCTGGTTGAAAGCAGGTAAGTTTCTGGCCTTGTGTCTGCCTTGTGTGTATTTTGTTCTGTCTTTTGGGTTCTTGGCGGGGGAGGGGACAGGGAGGGAGTCTTTCGGGGTGGGGGGGTTAGTTGTGTGGCAAACGCTCTTAAAGAATAAAACTCCTATTGCAAGAAATAAGCAGATGGGGGGGAAGGCAAAGGAGGAGATCAAGAAGGAAGGGGAACAGGAAAAGATGGGGTGGGGGGGGCTAGACAACGAAGCAGGGAGAGCGAGAGAGAGGTATGACCGGGTCCACTTAAAGGGAGAGACTCTGGGAGATGTTTCAGGAAAGCCAGAGCTTTGGGGGCCGGTGGGGGAGGGGGTCCTGCCCGGGGAGGGAGCTCGAGGGAGGTTAGAGTCCACCTGGAACGGGATGGTAAAGTGAGTCGAGAGGAGCCCAGTGTGGTATAAATAGGAAGCCGGCGATCCAGGACTGGCGCCAGGCAGGGCAGAGTGAGCCGCAGTGGAAGGGGCAGGTCCGGCGGGATCCCTCGGAGCCGGGCGGCGGCGGCGGCGGCGGCGGCGGCTCTCCCGGGCGGGCGGGCGCGCGGGCGGGATGTGGGCAGAGGGTCCCTTTCTGCTCGGCCCTGGAAGGTGTAATTACAGGTTAAGGACCTGGCGTATCGATTTCGCCTCGCCTCCCCCTTCCTGCCGTCCTCCGCCTAGATGCGGGCGGTTCAGACTTTTTTTTTACAGAAGTAGTTCCAGGGCCAGGAGAGTGGGGGTGCCCGAGTGGGGGGCCGCTGGGGGTTGTATCGAGGGGCTCGTAGGGAAGCTGAGGCTTCGCGCCGAGATGCTGCGTGGGATGCAGAGACCCCCCCACGAAACCTACCCCCCCTCATTGGACAGGCCCCACCCCCTCCCCCAACACCTGCCAGTTAACTTGAACTTCTCACAGTTACTGGAGTTAAAGCCACTGTTCCCGGTGCCTTGGAGACAGAACCTTTCACGTGAATCCCTCCGGGCCTCCCGGCTCCTGCTCTAAATCCACCCCAGTGGCCCCACTTCCTCCCTCCCCGTCTTCCCCGGTGCCGCCCCGCGAGAGAAGGGGAGATACACGTCTGAACTTCCGCGCTTTGAAATGCGGGGGGCGGGAGAGAGGGGGCCGGGGGTGGGGGGGCTGAAAGGATTCTCCTGCCAGGTTTAAAGGCGTCTCTGGAAAATTAGCAAAACTGAGTGGTGACGGGGAAGCCAACAGTTTGCGAGGCAGGCAAGCAGGCAGAGCCCGGGTGAGGGAAATGAGCTAGAATTGATAAGGACAGCTCCCGCCTCTGCCGAGTCCACTGAGCTGGTCCTCACCGCGCTCCACTGCACTTTCCCGGGAGAAGAAAGGGCTTTATCTGCTACCTCAGACTATTAGCCTAGGAGTTTCTCGGGGCAGCACGGATAATCGAAGGGGTTCCCAGCTTTTGGAGGGCTAAGAATCGCCCACCCGCACGCTTGTCGGGTCTCCTTTCCTACCCCCCAAACTGGACCAACTACGAAAAGCAAAGCTGCAGGCACAAGTTGACCTGGAACCTCCGCCGACGGTCGCCTCTGCGCTCTCCGGGAACCCCCGGCTCCCCACTCCCCGGCCTTTCCCTTCCTCAGGCCCGGCATGGACACGAGCCCACGAGGTGTCTCGGCCTCCGCCGCCACTTTGCCGTCGCTGCTGCCACCTCTGTCGCTGCCAAGAGCCGAGCCAGGGTGGTTTTAGGAAAGTGAGGGACGAAGTGTGTGGGCGGTGGCGAGAGGAGTAGCAGGGAGCTGAACCGGCGCCCCGACCCCAGACAGGGCTCTTTTGGTGGCGCTCACGGATTCAGTGCCTTCAGACCTTACTCCTAGGGTCGGGGTCCTGGGGCGCGCCGGGCAGGAGCCAAGCTGAGCACTGATTGTTGTTCTTCGCCCTCCCCTCCCCTCCACACCCTTCCCTACCCGACCACACCCCACCCCCTCCGCTACCCTCTCCCCTCCCTCCCATCCCCCACCCCTGTGTGCCAGGTTGGAGGAGGGTTTAAAGCCAGGTGCGCCGAGTCAGCTCGCCATGTCCAGATCCGGGGACAGGACCTCCACCTTCGACCCCAGCCACAGCGACAACCTGCTGCACGGCCTCAACCTGCTGTGGAGGAAGCAGCTGTTTTGCGACGTGACCCTGTCAGCCCAGGGCCAGCAGTTCCACTGCCACAAGGCCGTGCTGGCCTCCTGCTCGCAGTACTTCCGATCGCTCTTCTCCAGCCACCCCCCTCTCGGGGGAGGGGTCGGCGGCCAGGACGGCCTGGGGGCCCCCAAGGACCAGCAGCAGCAGCCGCCGCAGCAGCAGCCGCCGCCGCCGCAGGAGGAGCCCGGGACTCCTTCCTCCTCCCCCGACGACAAGCTGCTGACCAGTCCCCGGGCCATCAACAACCTGGTGCTGCAGGGCTGCTCGTCCATCGGGCTGCGCCTGGTGCTCGAGTACCTCTACACGGCCAACGTGACCCTCTCCCTGGACACGGTGGAGGAGGTGCTGTCGGTCAGCAAGATCTTGCACATCCCCCAGGTCACCAAGCTCTGCGTGCAGTTCCTCAACGACCAGATCTCGGTACAGAACTACAAGCAGGTGTGCAAGATCGCCGCGCTGCACGGCCTGGAGGAGACCAAGAAGCTGGCCAACAAGTACCTGGTGGAGGACGTGCTGCTGCTCAACTTCGAGGAGATGCGCGCCCTGCTGGACTCGCTGCCGCCCCCCGTGGAGTCGGAGCTGGCGCTCTTCCAGATGTCCGTGCTGTGGCTGGAGCACGACCGCGAGACCCGCATGCGGTACGCGCCCGACCTCATGAAGCGCCTCCGCTTCGCGCTCATCCCGGCCCCGGAGCTGGTGGAGCGGGTCCAGTCAGTGGATTTCATGCGCACCGACCCGGTCTGCCAGAAGCTGCTGCTGGACGCCATGAACTACCACCTGATGCCCTTCAGGCAGCACTGCAGGCAGAGCCTGGCCAGCAGGTAGGAGACAACAAAGAGGAGGGCGGGGGGCTGGGGGTGTTGGAAGCAGGAAAGGCCGGAGGGAGAGGAGGGGGGAGAGGGGTGGGCTGCGCGGGAGGCTCTGGCAAGCTTAAAACAAACGCAAACAGACAATTCAGACTGTGTGGGGAAACTTGATTTCGGAGTCCCCGAAAGGTCAACGGGGAAGTGGCCTAACAGCATCCCGGAGCTCTAGAAAGCCCACGTTCTCAACATCCCCAGAGCAAGGAATGTGGGACTTGTGGGCTGAAATTGACAGGCAGGTGGGGCCAAAGGCCGGGGCAGTTACAAGGGCCGCTCTGGAACCCTCTCTAACCAGTCCTCCCTCCAAATCTCAAAATGAGCTGGCTTAAGGAAAAGGATTCTGCAATGACAAGTCCCACCCCACTCCACCTCTTTCCTGCCTTGGGTGAGCGGGAGCGCCCTGGCGTTCTCCTCCTCAGGGAGGAGAGCTTTCATTCTTTCTGTCAGACGCTCAAGGTTTGTTGTTGTTGTTGTTGTTGTTGTTGTTGTTGACTGAGGTCTGCTCCCTTTGGAAGTTAGAGCTCCCAAACGTTTGGTCTATTCGGGTCACTATTGGAAATTCTGGCATCACAGACCCAGGCAAACTTTTCTGTCTTGTGGAAAGCCTTTCTTTTTCACTTTTAAAGGAGAGCAGAGCAAGAGGTTTCAGGATGTCAGAGTGAATCATGCCTAGCAGCGCCCATCTCTAAGGGGAGCACAGCTGAAAACTGGGAGGAGGCGAGTCATCTGGCGCCAGTTAGGTCCTTGTGCTTGTTCTGAAGTCACAAAGAAGTTGGGGACTTGTTGTTGCTCTTTGGAATATGTCTGTGTGCGCTGCAAATAGGTTTTAACGTCAAAAGGGAGAGAGAAATGATGCCTTTTTAAAATGTTGCTGAGTTTTAACTGTAGGAATTGACAGTCATATTTTATTGGCTCCAATCTTAAAACCCCTTTTAATGAGCCCTAGCAGAGCATTTCTTTCTCTTTTTAAAAAAAGAGAAACAGTATCTTCTCAGTTTCTCATGATAAAACATCATGATTTCAGGTGCCAGGCTATCCCAGCCTAATCCACCAGAGTGTTAACATGGTTTAAAAATCCATCATGCCATTTTCCCATTCAGAAGGATGTCTAACGTGGGGGGAGGGGGGTCCACTTTGTGCAGCTTTCTGGAATTAAACATTTATTTTTTAGTCGTGATGCTTCTACTAGACGCAGGTAGAAATGTTTTAAGAGGGCGCCTGGGTGGCTCAGTCGTTGAGCGTCTGCCTTCGGCTCAGGTCATGATCCCAGGATCCTGGGATCGAGTCCCGCATCGGGCTCCCTGCTCCGCGGGAAGCCTGCTCCTCCCTCTCCCACTCCCCCTGCTTGTGTTCCTGCTCTCGCTGTGTCTCTCTCTGTCAAAAAAATAAATAAAATCTTAAAAAAATAAATAAATAAATAAATAAATAAATAAATAAATAAATAAATAAAAGAAATGTTTTAAGAAAAGGAAGATATTCTCTACAGCACTGGTGTTCAGGTGAGGCCCACAGGGGTATGGGAAATCTTGGACTTAGAAACCTTCTAAGTTGATTTTCTACTATTTGTGAGGGATGAGTTAATGAATCGTGTCAATAAATGACAGTAAGACAATAGCACAAGCAAGAATTCAAACCCTTGTGTGCTTGAATAGTGAGCACAGGAGTCCAAGTGTGAATAAGAACATGGAATGTACTTTTATTTTTGTAAGAGTTTTTCATTTGTCTAAAGATCAAAACTTAGTGCGATGGGCACATGTCACCACACCACACCACACCGTTATCTTAACTTTTATCACTTTTAAATGACCTACAGGTATACTTAATTTAGCATATATTATACATATTCAGGAATTCAGACAGCACAGTCATAGTCCTGAACATAGATTTATTCGTATTTTTAAAAACATGTAAAATCTAGTAGAAACTCAGAAATCCAGAGGGATAATAAGATTAAGGCTTAACTTGTTTTAAGAGTGACTTTGGGATATGAGCATTACAAATTTGATCTTTCAAAGAATTTCCGAAGCCCTCCATGCACTTTTACCTGATAAGTATGTTCTAGGGCTCAGTGTTAGAACAGTTGACTTTCAAAATGCAAAATGCATTTTCTACCCTCGTCTGGATTCAGCATACCAGCTGGGGCCTGCTGGTTCTGTCCTGGTGGATGGCTGAGATACCAGGCTGCCCGGCTCCGTGACGACACTGTCCAGCTTCACTGGGCCATATCATCTGAAGGACGTGTAGTGGTGTCTGACCACTAAGTGCTTACAAGTGTCATGGATGCTGCAAGAATCTGATACTTCTGCGGTAGGAAGAAAACTGTGTTTTTCTTTAAAAGCGAAAGATACAGAGAAGAAAACAGTTCATATGAACCTGCTGTTGATCTCAAAAGAATATAATTTAGATTTTGTTCCATTATGGATAACTGTAGCATTTTAGTTTGGGGGGACTAATTACATTATTCCAATTTTAATTTGCAGAAAGAATGAACGACTAACCATCAAGATCTTAACTTTAATGTAGACAAAAATGCTGTAAGTTGTAACCAATAGTACTATATTGGCCCATTTATTAGAGCATCAGCAGAATATAAAAATGTTCTCTCAGACTTACATGGAGTTTAACAGAAGGATAAATGTGCTAAACAATTGCTTCTGCAAATACATCACTTTTATTGAAGACAATTGAATGGAAGTGCATTGTATATATTACTTTTTATCCACCTATAGTTTTTAAAGTCTAAACATGAAAGAATTCCTCAAATTTAGGCAAGGAGTTGAAAAATTAAAATTGACTAATCTGTTGGAAAAAGTACAAAATATAAGGAAATAGAATCACTTCAAAAAGAATTTATTTTTTTAAGAATACATGTTATCATCTATTGAAAGTAGGGCTATTAATGTAATAACAGTATTTTAAATATTTTTAAAGATTATTAAGTAATTTTGTATTTTTATTACATCTAGAAAAATAAAGCAACCCAAGCCTGAAGACTTTATAAATACCCAAATTAATATTTAATTTTTGCTCTAGTTGCTTTAGTCTTTCTGAGTATGCCATTATGCTCAGATTCATGTTTTATTTTATCAAATTAAGCATAAGAATAATAAATTAAAAATAAAAGACATTATCTTATATTCAAACATATGCATAACTAATTTAAGAGGAAAGGACTTCAGGAGACAAAAATTAAGACATTTGAAATCTTACTTCTTGTTTTCTTTTGGTTTTATTGCAAGAAATATAAAACTTAAGAAATAAGTTCTTGAAAAAGTTTCTGGAGATGTCATTTTTAAAGACTTCTAAAGCATGAAAATTTAATTTAATTTGTGACATAACATGCAGTGTTTAGTACATTAATAAGTAAATATCAGAAGACATACAGTCCAAGTGTAGCTTAAGCAATCCCAAAAGTTTCTTTTTTATTTGTATTTTTAAAATTTTAGTGCATAATTTAGTAGTTATTCAAATAAGTCAATTTGGACTGGATTCATTAACTTCTTTTTTACATTTTCATTGCATCTCACACAATGTAGCAGTTAAATAAATGCTTACTGAAAGTTGAAAGAATTAAGATTATAAAATAAGAAAGCTCAGTGTTGACTTCACCAATATGTTCCTCAATCTACATTACTATTACACATAACAAAAGGCCATTGAACCTTCTACAGGAAAACACCTGTAATAGAAAAGCATTGTTGAAAATAATCATATTTTTTAAAACATTTAACCACCAGCTATTACAGTCCCATTTACAGCCCTATACTGAAGTGTAGTTTTCCAGAGATTATATTTTATAGAAGACAGAAGGCTACCTTATAAAGATTTCACTCTGTAAAAAAGTTTATTTAAAGATTTCATATAAATTAATTTAAAAATCTACTTAAATATCAGGAGCACAATTATCTATTGGCTAAAATGATTTGTAATGATTAAAAAGCCATTAGATTTCCTAATACGCAGCTTTGATTCCTGCCTTTGTTGCTTAGAAAGTGTTTCTTTAAATGTAGGACTATATTTTCTATTGGTTCTCTTCCTAAGGCCTGAGTAACAACCTTAGCAAAGCAAACTAATCTTGTATCCATGTATTCTCTAAGTTGTTACTTCCCTTTATATCAATTTGATAGCCTCAGATTAGAAGTTGTTAGGTAGTTAGATTTTTGTATCAGAAGTTACCCAACCATTCAGAATACAATTTGTTTATTATGTGAAACAGGACCATTGATTACAAAATTATATCACAGGTATGGGAGCCAAATAGTTATATCCTACAATCAAAAGGCAATTAGAGTAGATATTAATGTGTTGTATTGGCTTAGAGGATTTACTGACAAAAGTGGACATGTTCAAATTTTAATTCATATCTTGTATTTTTTCCATATTTATGAACATGTTGGGTTCACTCATTACCTTAGCCAATTTCCAAGTATCTCTATTTTCTTAACTTAAAAACGCAGTAAAAAATATATCACTTTATTTACAACAGCTACTTTTTTTTTTTTTTAAGATTTTATTTATTTACCTGACAGAGACAGAGATAGCGAGAGCAGGAACACAAGCAGCGGGAGCGGGAGAGGGAGAGCAGGCCTCCCGCCGAGGAGGGAACCCGATGTGGGACTCGATCCCAGGACCCTGGGATCATGACCTGAGCCGAAGGCAGACGCTTAACGACTGAGCCACCCAGGCGCCCTACGACAGCTACTTTATACCAGAGGATCTTCTAAGCATTTTACAAACATTAACTTATTTAATGCTCAAAACAGCCCTAAGGGATGAGTACCAGCATTAGCCTCATTCAATAGATGGAAAAACTGGTACACAGAGAAGTTAAGCATGTTGTCCATGGTTGCACAGCTGCTAAGTGGTAGAACCAAAGTCTAAGCTGGGGGAAGTGTGGCTCTGGAGTCTGTGTTCTCACCCACAGTGTTCCGCTTCTTGCTATGAGCCTCTCCATGCTA